AAAAGTAAACTCTATCTAATTATAAGGATAAAAAGGGAAAAAAGGATCGTGACAAGGGTTTTTTTTTTTTTTAATTTTTGTTATTAATAAGGGAGGGGTTTGTGTGTCTGCTAGCGAATGAATGAAGGGATGCTGGTTTTGTTGAGTAGCGTGTTATTTGTAACGTGTGGGCAGCCCAGAAGGAAGAGCCAATGAGAAAGCACAGTCGGTTACAGGGAGTGGAGTAGGAGTCAGTGATTTCTTGTGGGTTCCTCTGCAAAAAGAGACCCCATCCTCCCTTTTTTTTTAAAAAAATTTCTCTCTTAATTCTTATTATTTTACTATTATTTTCTCTCTCGTCCCACTTCTATGACAAAGTCTACAAGGACAAGATCTTCTGTGTACCTTTGGATGAATTCAAGGGGTGGAATTATTACAAAGCAGAGGGTGACAAGAACTCAAAACTATCAGAAGAAGGAAAAAAGGAAGAGAGAGAGAGAGAGAGAGAGAGAGAGAGAGAGATTTCTTAGTGAGAGAGAGAGAGGAAAGAGAGAGAGAGGTTCGTGAATATATGTGCAGGGTCTAAAAGTCTAACATCCGAGTTTATTCAGTTGAGTTTATTAGAAAAACAAAGTTGGCCATACTTTAAAAAGCAAGCTCTAAAATCCTGAACAAACCTCAAGCTCAGATGAAAGCTCACCCTGGTAATTTTCTTCTCCTCTTTTTTTTTTTCTCTTTCCTTGCTCATTGATAATTTTCCTTTGACGATTAATGTTTTTTTTTTAATCTTCTAATTTATCAGCGTGTCATGAAGAAGAAAACTTGAAGAAGAAGTTGATGAAAAGAAGTTAAAAATGCTTAGAGGAGAGCACTCTTGGATGGCAGCAAATCATCACAGAGTTGGTGAGACTGGGCTGTCAGATCCCGGGCCTTCAGCTCAGCCCATCCCTTATGGGATCCAAGCAGTCACACCTGCATCTGCCACCAATTTCTTGTATTTTTCCTCAATTTTACTTAGCCTAAAGTTCTAATATTTCTCCTCCTTGTAATATTTGTTTGTTTGTTTTTTACTTAAATTTTTATGAGATTCTCATGTCAGGCTTTTTTGATCTCCTATACTAGTTTTTAAACCACCTTAGTTTTCCCCCCCATTAATTTGCCCCCCAAAAAACTTGCATGTACTTGCAATTGGTCCATAATGGATCACCACCTTGTTCCTCCAATCCAAAGCATAAATTTCAAATTTTGCAATTGGCCCTTCTTTCCTTTCACTTTTGTTTGTGTCATCATCATCATCATCTTCCTTTTACTAAATTTTTTTTATATGAAAACCAACGAGCACCTTGGTAGGCACAAGTCTCTAATGGGATTACACCTCTCCCCCACCAATTCCTTAAAGCCTTTGACCCTTATCCGTTCATGGGTTTCTTTATTTATGCTCATTTTCTATTTATTCCCCCCGTCCCTCCCTTTGCACTCAACCTTGCTTCTAGTTTTGTTTCTGGGTAGTTTGAATAAAAATGGACATTTTGTGCATGATCAGTGGTCAGGAAGGAGCTGCTTATTTTGGGGAGCTTGAAGAAGCTCTCATGCAAGGAGTTGTTGATCAGGACAAGAAGCGTATGCTCTCTCTCTCTCTCTCTCTCTCTCTCTCAAGAATTAGTCTTCACAGTGATCACATGAGATCAGTAAAAACCAACTACTACTTCAGAGGTGGTTTTATAAAGCATGGCGAATACTAACTCTCTTGATAAGAAAGGGGAAAAGAATATGAGCACTTTTGAACAAAACTGACACTTCTCAGTCCTTCCTCCCTTGCAAAGAATCATAAAGGGCAGCAGGCTTTGTTTTGATCCTCTGACCATAAAAATTTTCTCTTGCAGCTTTTTTCACCACGAGACCCCCTCCCACTCTTGAGATCTTCCCCTCTTGGCCAATGAGATTTCAGCAGACCAACAGGGTACGTAGTATTAATACACCAGCAGTCTTTTTATTTGCCTTTGTTAACTCTTCTCCATTTTCAATAGCACGCTCCTAATTCTATCTATCGCTGTTGTAAACAACAACAACAACAATTATATATGCGTACATAGGGTAGTTCACAGTCAGCAGAAGAGAGCACAGAGGACTCAGGATCAGCTCAACACACGGTCTCTCAGCTCGAATCAGAGTCTCCATTGAGCAATAGTACTCATAATAACAATAAAGCTTCATCAGAGCAGTCCTCTGAACCGAAGGAGATAATGGCGAGCGCAGCAAATCATCAGCCCAAGCCCCAAGACAAGGTGCTGTTTTAACTGCTACGCTGCTGAATGTTTATGTGTGTGTTTTTTTTTTTACTTTCCATTATTTTCTGCACAAATGCCCAGAGAAGTCGACCCGGAAGAGGTTAACCTGTTCAATTCTCTTTCCTCTATTAGAAACCAACCCAAACTCACAAATTTCAAGGACCCTGAAATCTACTGCAGCTGATTAACTGATCTTTTGACCAGAACCTTGCCTCTTGAGTCACAGTATTTCGTCAACACCGATCCCCATAAACGTACAGTTTGTTTCCTAGACTTTTACCATTTTTTCTGCACTCTTCAAACCCTAGCCAGCCACTGTTTCAATATTACACAAACTGCCCCCGCCACCTTTTCGTTGCACAGTGGAATGGAGTGGCATTTTGGTCACAGTAGTTTTCTTGGTAAAAGATATCCACATCTACTAACATACAATATTGACAATGGTTTTGTTAAACTAGGATTCATCATCATACTTTAATGAGACAACCCACTCTCCTATTAATCTTTGTTATCTGGTCCCAAATCTACTTGAGAATATTAAGCTTTTTGTCCTACGTCTTGTTAAAAGCTTGGCTCTCTCTCAGTATAAAAAAAAAAGATACCAGATCTCCTAAGCGCATTAATTTTCTAGCTAATCCCTGTTGTCTGTTTTTCTTTGTTCTTTTACCCATCAAATGTTATTTTAAACAACATTTGTTGTAATTTTTTTTAATATTTCAGAGGAGGATGGCTGGTTCAGCTGCAGAGAAAGAAGGAAAGACACTAGATGCCAAGGTCATGAAAAAGCTCTCCCCCTCTCTGTGCCTTTTCGCACCATATATGCATGAGATATAATATAATATATATGCATACACTAACAAATTCCAGGCATTAGAAAATACTTATCTATATGTAAATAGGGTAAACTTGTATATATGTTTATGTGCACTGGATTGTCATGCATACATAGAGTCATGTAGGCCTGACTCATGCATGCATTTATTTACTTGGACAAAAACATGCATCTTTCTGGGTGCATCCAATTTGTTTGAGATAATTAAACAAGTATATTATCATGATTTATCCTAATTAATCAAACCTATTATCAAGTAACACTATTATAATTAAAGTTGAAAAAAGTAATGATTTTTCTACTTCTTTGTATTTTGTTGTTAATAACAACTACGACGACTTATGGATCAGTAGGATCTTATTATCAAGTAAAAAGTGTTTGAGAGGTGTAAAATAACACATGTAATGCGTTAGTAGATTTTTTTTCACTGTTATTAAGCTGCATTATTTATCATATTTACTGTGGTAACAGACATTAAGACGCTTAGCTCAAAATAGAGAGGCAGCAAGGAAGAGTAGGCTTAGAAAGAAGGTGAGGGGTATTTTCCTAATATTTTTTCCCCTTTTCCGCTTTTTTTTCATTGATACACATCCTAAATTCTCTCTTTTTTTCTTCATTAGGCCTATGTACAACAACTAGAATCCAGTAGAATGAAACTTGCACAGTTAGAACAGGACCTCCAACGGGCTAGATCGCAGGTATAACTAGCGCTAGCTAACTATTTAAACTTTTATTTGAATAAACATCCCGCATTTTGTATCATTTTTCAGATACTAATCTCACTGATCAAACTATGTGGATTTAGGGTCTTTTCTTAGGAGGAGGCAATGCAGCTGGAAACATCACCTCTGGTAGTAACAAGGATACCCAAACTCTAGCATAATAAAATTTATAAATGCCTTGAATTGGATATAATAAAAGTTCAATTGGATGTATCTCAGGTGCAGCAATGTTTGATATGGAATATGCTCGATGGTTAGACGAGAACTACAAGCACATGACAGAGCTTAGAGGAGGTTTGCAGGCTCATTTGCCTGATGGAGACCTTAGGATCATAGTAGATGATTGCCTTGCACATTACGATGAAATCTTTCGATTCAAGGGAATTGCAGCTAAATCCGATGTATTCCATCTCATAACTGGATTGTGGGCTACTCCTGCTGAGCGCTGTTTCATTTGGATGGGTGGATTCAAACCCTCCGATTTGCTCAAGGTCTTAGCCTAAACCAAATATGAAAAAGTATTGATATGAACAAGATTTAATGATAATTCGATATTTTTTTTGTATGTGTAGATTCTGATGCCTCAGCTGGATCCTCTGACAGAACAACAGCTAATGGGAATCTGCAGCCTCCAGCAATCATCGCAACAGGCAGAGGAGGCACTATCTCAGGGCCTTGAGCAACTTAAACAGTCACTGGCGGATACAATTGCGGGTGGATCTCTAAGTGAAGGTGCTATTATGGAGAATTATATGGGACACATGGCAATGGCACTAGGAAAACTGGCAAACCTTGAAGGATTTCTTCGACAGGTACTACATTCTACTAGTTTTTTATATTCTCTGTCAGACCTATAATTGGGGAATGATGATGGTGCTAATGATGGATTAAGTTTTGGATAATCTAATATAATACGTAAATGAGGAGAGATACAAATGATGGTTTAATAGTACTAGAATGTGATGCAATGTCAGGTTGTAGATACTGATGTGTTGAAGGGTCCAGTTTGCTTGCTTTCCTATCAACGTGGATTGTAAGCAACACTATTGTTTTTTATAATTAATTATCTTCTTATTTCATTTGTTAAACAGATTAACCGGCTCATAGAATAATTTTACTGGCTGTTGCTTTTGTTTTTTGGTTCCTTTTTTTTACTTTGTTAGAAGTTATTGATACATTGTTAAGTAAAAATCTGAGATCATCTTATTATCTTCAGTTTCTTCATGCTTTTTACATTGCGTTTCTTTTTTCTTTTCTCAAAATAGATGGTAATCTGGTTGCAGAATATTGCTTTTAATTATGCTGACATTCTATATGAGTTAATTAATCAAAGATAAACAGTTCATAAATTATCTATATTTCATCTTAATTCAGTCCTTAATCTCATCTCAACATGTAACTGATTCAAGATTTTGACCCCAGGCTTACTCTTGGAGTTCCTTGCCATGACCGTCCATTGATTTTGATAAAATGTTAGCTAAATTCTCAAAAAGCAAATATTGAGAACTTAGAATAATACTTTCTAGAACAAAACAGGTCTGAGAATATATAGAACCCAAATACAAAGCGATATTAAGTATATATAACATTGACTTAAGTAAATTATCTCTTGAAATTTCTAACATTTTCTGTCGTGTCTAAATATTTAGGTGAATATGGAACATATGAAATTGAAATGACAAGATCCTGCATACAATATTCCTTTGTCCTTTTCTCCTCATTATGTTTGCCTTTCCCTTTCCCAATCTTTTGTTTCTTCTTCAGTACTTCTAAAATACCCATCAGAATCAAAAGCAATGCGGTTCCATTTCTTTATCTTTAGTGCCTCACAGAAAGTTGCACATGTTGCTATCCATGTATAGTATCAAGAAAAGGATGCAACAACCTAACCTTTAGATACTTGTGTAGGGCCAGTTTTCCAATATGTATATTATGTATAAATTTAGCCACCCCAGTTTTTCCATGTGGCAATGTTCTATTAATTGGTCCTATATATCCATATGTTTTGTGCGCCAAAGCAGTTTTTTTTAAATCTAAATATATACAGGTTCAATCAAGGGATTTAATACTTGCTAATTGCTCAATTATTATAAATATTCTATGAAAAGGCTATCGATTTGGGTGGGTATAGAAGGTAAAAGTTATTCCAGAAATATAATTTATAAAATAAAAGATATGGGGATTTTTGTTTCTGATGATTTATTAATGGAAGAGTTCGAATCCAATGAATCAGACAAATCTTTCAGTTGCTACACATTTAATAATAATAAACTTTATTTTTTGTCCATCTTAGACTTTTCTTTTGTCTTAAGTTTTCCCTCCTCTTTATGTGATAGGACTCTATTGATTTTTAATTGAAATTGATTTTTAATTGGAATGATTAAATGTTTCCTTCTTCTCCTTTAAGTTTTCATAGTACTTTTTTTTTTATACAAAAAACAGGCTGATAATCTGAGGCAACAAACCCTACATCAATTACACCGCATCTTGACAATTAGACAAGCAGCAAGGTGTTTTCTGGCAATCGGAGAATACTACAGTCGCCTTCGTGCCCTCAGCTCTCTCTGGGCCTCTCGCCCCCGCGAGTAAGCTTCATTTTTTTTTTCTTCCTTCCATGGTTATTACATAAATGGATAAATTTTACGTGAAGTGGTTAAGGTTTATGGCTTAATCATATGAATCATGAGCATATGATTGTTTTTTTTTTTTGTGTGTTCCACCAAAGCATGAAGTGATAATTCTCTCCTATAATTCACCAACTACATGATATTAGACATATAGTTGCAGGACCACAAACACAAGAAAGAAAGCAAGCTACATACCCCCATCAATGAACTACTCAATATTATTATTCTTGGGTCCACTCTATATGCAGCTTTAGACCAAACCACCTAAAATGGGAATGGCTTTGTCTCCCTGCACGATGTTGGATTTTTCACTTGCAGTTTCAAAGTTGCTTTCTATTTTAAATGCACAAGTCTTTCATAGAATTTTGCCCATCAACATGTCCAAGATGAGGGATCTTGTTTGCAAAAGTGATGTAAGCCATGTTCATTTTCATCTATTTTTCAGTTGAATCCATTTTTTCCATTGCCTACTCATGACCAACTTACTGCGCTAGGTTATACTTAGTCCATTATAGGCTTCATTCTCTGTACACCTTTTTGTAGCCAACTAATGATTTTGAGTACTTCCAAAGTCTTCCCCTAAAATTATAAGACTACATGCATTCTAATTTTGACATTTACTGTTATGGGAAGGACCTTTCCTATGAGTAACTTCTCTAGCAATCTATTGATCTAAATAATAAAGTTTTTAACTCTGCATTTGTTACAGGAACATGATTGCAGAGGAGAGCGCTACAGGTCTACAAGTAATTCATCAGCCAGCGGTGCACAGTCATTTTTCGGCATTCTGACTGAACTATTTGCAAAGATAAAAAAATGTCATCAACGTCAGATTTCCATTTGATTTGTATTGAGAGAGAGAGAGAGAGAGGGAGATCTTGGTAGTGATATGAAGATTGTTCTAATGTTGCTGAAATAGATTGCACTTAGCAAAAAGCAGAGGGAAAAGGGGGGCTTTTGAATAAGATGATGGTAGGGCTTAGGAACCAAAGTAAAGCAGGGAAAGTATGTAACTTTTTTTTATGTCATAATTAGGTAATTGATGGTCTTAATATTTTATCACAATGTAGATAAGAATGAGCATTTATTTCTGTTGCCACTACTCCCATACATCTCCATCTATATAAAGTTATATTAATCAATTTTTAACTAGATATCTCTATCTATGTAACAGCTATCTTCTATTCTTAATAATATAATAATAAGTAAACATTATTTTCACAACTTGCCTTAGAAAAAGACAAAGTCAGGAGGTTGTAGCATTATTAAATGCAAATTTGTAGGTATTTGCTGCAACCAACTCCCCTATTTTCTGAACAATATTTTATCAATTTGTAGATAAGATGTAAAGAGTATGACAATACTCCAAAAATATTTATATAAACTTTTAGATGTTTGCTTCGCCATCAAAATATTGGGACCCTGATCATGGCCAATGGGCGAAAATGACAGGGCATCCGTTTAATAAAAGCGGAAGCAAAGAAGATTTTTCTTCTTCTATATGAATTTAGATTGCATCTCTTTGTCCCTCGCAAACCTAATGTAATTGCCTCTACTTGTCAGTATGTTTCAAACGGTGGTTACCTGCTACAGAAAGTAACGGGTTGGAGATTTTGATGTCTAGCACAAGCTAAAGGTGTGAGAGGCATAGGAGCATATTTCAAACAGTTCTGAATGCAAATAAATTATTTGGAAATTTGATATTTATCTTGTTCATTCTATTAATCTGGGGTGTTCAGTTGATAAAATGACAGAATGAAATCAGAAATAGACTACATAAAGAATTGGAGGACCAAGTCAAGAACTACTACTGTCTAAGAAAACCACCTTTTGAAACAAAGAAGGGAAATCTTGGAATGATTGTCTGCCTTAAAGCAAGGAAAACTGAAGCCTAACCTTGAAAAAGATCTCTTTCCAATGTGAAAAGAGCAAAAGAGCCCAGATGCTGTCCGAAAACAGAAATAGCTGCCATGCCTCAATTCTAAAAGTGGAGAAGTCTGTGTTTCTGAACCCTAAGCTCATAGTGCAACAAGTCTGTAGCAGGGGATGTAAGAAAAATACAAACAGACTTATGAAAATTGGATAGCGTAGATTGCTAGATTGATATATGGTAGTCTTGATCCATATAGATTATATCCTCTCGGTATTGTCTGTATCTAACATTTGAAAGATGTCGAAGTTAAATTTATTTCATATCCACTCATTAATCATATCCTATAAATTATGATCGATATTCATGTTCAATATAGATATGCCCGTGTTCTCAAATATGGGTATGAAATTCGGGATCTGAAAACTATATGTATGCACAAATGTCCACAACGAGAAAAGGGTATACGTTCAAATACAAGCATATATACATACAAATACAATACAAAATTACCTATATCTTCTCTGTATTCACTAATTATATCCCTATACATGACCCATACTCCAATCACATCATCATTATCAGAAACTAGAAATATAAATGGTATTGGCTCCCTCAAGATACCGAAGGTCGAGTCTCAGGATGAAGAGAGAAAGTGAAACACTGAAGCCTATTCAAACATTGGCCAACAAAACAAGGAAGCTCAAGAGCATTGTCAACATCATAAAATGGGAAAAGCTTTGTTGAACTTGTCCAGGTGTAGATGTTTACATCTCTGTAAAGATCTTAGAAGGTCTCAATGCCACCAGAAAGGTTAACTCCACCTAATCCTCATTGAGGAAAAACATACATAAGTTAAATAAAACCGAAGCTGACAAGAAATCTAAAGTCCACCTAATCCTCATTGAGGAAAAACATACATAAGTTAAATAAAACCGAAGCTGACAAGAAATCTAAAGAATTATAGGCTTTCCTGGTTGTTGACCATACATAAGTTAAATAAAACCGAAGCTGACAAGAAATCTAAAGAATTATAGGCTTTCCTGGTTGTTGACAAAGAACGAACGCATGCCAGTTCTAGATACCCTTTCAGAAACAGGATAAGCTAGAAAAACAAATCTGATATTTCAGAAAACTGACTTGCATCGAAACACATACCATAAGCGACATTTCGTGAAACTTTATAAAATAAGCGAGCTAGAGATGTCGCTGTGACAAGTCTAAACGAGCATTGGAACTAAAATGAGAACCAGACTGATCTGAACAGAGTTTTCTCACCAACGAAATACAAGTTCGATAGAATTAACAGAATATGTAAAAGACACAAAATAAATCAAACTATATAATTTAGCTTAACGACTTTTCTTGTACATAAAACAGTCATACAAAAACACGAACTTATTAGTCATAAATGTAATCTTCCTAGCAGAAAAAAGTATGGGGGATTAGTCTTACAGATCATTGTTACTTAGATGTGTCATCTGATTCTGTTTTTGACAAATGACGAGATTTTGACCACTCTTCCAAATTTTTGCGGTGATTAGCGTTCATTCTAATCAAAGGCCTCTTTTGCTTTATCATCTTCTCAGCGGTTTTCCAATCTTCAGCCACACCCACAGCAACTAGAAGCGCGCACATAACGCAGACACTTCTCCCATGACCTGTTGCGTGTTCCGCCATCCATCACAATATTAGGTTAAGATTAACATCAGTAAAAAATAAGTAGCTAGTTGCCAGACACCAAAAATTGACTGATACATATAGGATACAAAAAGATGAATCAGTTGAACAATTCGCCAATCACCTAAAGTCTCTAAGCAAAAATTTCCTCAGTATATCTCTAGTGTAGACCCAAACAGAAAATACAATCCAAGAAAACCATTAGTCCATGTTTCTGCTTTTTCAGATAAAAGAATAGAATTTTTGGGAGGAAAAACCAAAAAACGCAAAATAGAAAAGATCCTTTTTGTTAGATATTTTGTTAAGAAAAGACAATTTTGTCTTCATGAATAGTAATAAAAATTTTATAATTAAAACATGTTTTTATTAGCAATTAAAAATATGTGTAACAGCTATATAATTATGGGGAACGTTACAAAATTTATGACGAACGTTACGGAATTAATTACGGGTTTTGTAACGTCTTTTCCAACCCTATATATATCCATATGTTGAGCTCAAAATAATAAGAAAAAATATACAACAAGTTTCTCTTGTTTTTCTTCTCTCCCCTACATATTATTTTCATCTACATCTTAGTTTTATTTTATGGGCAACTTTCTTCATCTGAGCTGAAGCTCTGCACTCTCGCCCGAGTGCAGAGGCCGGCCGTTTCCGGGGGCTTTTACCGCTAGGGGGGAGGGAACCATCTGCGCCAGGGCGATAGGCGGGTTCTCAATCTTCTAGGGCAGTGAATACACGACTGCTCCCGATCAGGCCGGTTTTAATTGTTTATTTTTTCGGATTTATCTGCATGCTATAATCTTAATTATTTGATAAATTTCCAACACTTTTTTCACTAATTAATATCATTTTTGTTTAATCTCCTGCCATTCCACTCCGTGGTTTCTAAGTAATACCAGTGACTCTTAACCAAAACTCTTAACTTCAAGAAATTGTAAGGCATAAGACAATGAATCACACCTCATCCAATATGTGTGACATATTGACCTTAATATGATTGTGGGCATGGATTTGGCATACAATGCATATAGATGGTCAGGGATCAAAGTTTTGGTTTTCTCCACGATTTTCTCAATATAATGGACCAATTTAAGCTGATGGAGCTTCAACATCTGCTCCATGCAATGAGGAGATTTTGGAGTTGTAAAAGGAAGCCAGATGAATGAGGATATCCAGGGAGTGGAACTCTTACAGCTTTCATATAAAGCCTATGAAGTATAAACCTTTATGTTACCCACAAGTTCTATGCTGCTGTCTTGGTGTTTCCAAATATTTTCCTAAGATACCACTAGTTTTTTTCTTTTTTTCATTCGGAATAAGTAGATGACTCCATGTTTGACGACTGTAAGCAATTGATATGCTATATATCCAATTTCCAAACTAGTTGATAAGATCAGGATCTCGGCATATTGCCACATCGAAAACACTAGGAGTTTCACTGAGATTTATCAAGAAAAACAATTGCATTCATCTAGGACTAACAGAAAATACCAGTTAACACAAAGAGTCCAGATCCCTGGAACTGGAAATATGGTTCTAATTATTTTTTCTTTTTCTTTATGAGATAAAAACTGATGTTTCTAATTCATCATTACCTTATTTCACAGGGAAACATTAGAAATAAAAGTTCTACTGTCTCTGAGTATCCAACTTAGTTCACAGGGAATGCCTCCCAGCAGAACTAGAGTACAGTTAATAATGAAAGATGTTTTGCTGCTTTGAAGCCATTGTGCTCTTAATGAACTCTGTATATCAAAGATGAGACTTGCAGCAATGTGGATCTACCATTGTTGACAAATAGTAAAATATTATTTTCCACAATAAAACAGCAGTTAACAAGCTTGTACTATAATTCACTCTAACATACAAACATCCAAACGGAATAGAGCATAGATTGCTGTAAGTCACGCCCCTGAACTTTTAGTTATCATGTTGGAAGTATTAACACCGCTGTAGGAGTATGCGTCATATAGTAGCCTGTACATACATTTAGAGCTTTTGCATCCAAATGTGCCAGTTTTTTTGCATACAATCATGACAATCCAATTTTTTTCCTAAAAACCACCATTTCTCCACGTATATCAGCTTGTTCAAGCTAGATATCTACTCCATTGGCTTCTGTCTATTTACTACCAAAATTATTTTTTTCCCCGCTGTAACATCATCGGTTAATCCATAGTATAAATTCACTTACGTTGACCTTTTAATACTTCAAAAAAAATTACTCACATTTGATACCAATGAGAATTTCTTCGAGCATAATTTGAGCAACCTACGAAGCTCATCTTCTGATTAAAGTCTCTTTTCAATAACTTTAAAGCCAGTAATGATGTCCATTTGAAACAAAAACATTTGTAAAGAGGTTCAAGCTGCCACAATCTTGTTATGGGTCCAGCCCAAAATAAGGCTCACTTGAAGTCTACATGAATTAGAATTCTATTTAGAAGAGTATTTTGATGATCTATTTGAAATAGGAATAGATTTGGAGAATTCTATATA